TTCTCAATCACCTGAAGGCTTTTAAGGGAGATTTTAGAGCAATCTGATAATGAATTACATCATCCAGCCTAGAAGTAATAAATGCATGAAGCAGCTTTTCAGGGTGTTTCTGATTTTAGCAACATTACACAAGTAAATCAAAGCAATTGTAAATATTTTTTTACTGTTCTTTCTGAAGGATATTCCTTGATCAAAATAACTTAGGTTCGTCCTGTTTATAGGTTATAGATGGACAATTGTGAACCACTGGACTTTAGTGCTGTTTTAGCACCTTATCTGCTGATTGAACGTGTATGTTGTAGTGTAATGTAATCCACCTCAGGTCATTAGCCAGTTCTTAACGTTTATCTCAGGCTCCAAAGTTTCATGTAATCTTAAAGTAATTAGTAATCCAATATGATTAAAACTTTTGATTTCAACAGCAGTACAGCTTATTCAAAAATGCAGGAGCCATTAAACAAATACATTCAAAAACACACATACACTCAACAGTTGTGTATTTCTGTGACTTCTAGGACAACAACCCTGCCAGAGCTCAGCTGTTTGAGCGAGCCGGTTACTCTGGTAAGAAGATGGAGCTCCAGGATGACATCCCCAACCTTATGAGCCGCTACAGCCTCAACAGAGTAGCCTCCATTCGTGTGCTCGGAGGAGCGTGAGTGATTAAACGAGTGAAGCCGTTGGACTTTGAGCAGTGTAACTAGTATCCTACCAGAGATCTAACCTTCCTCTGTGTATACAGGTGGGTGGTGTATCAGGAGCCCAACTACAGAGGACCCCACTACATCCTGGAGAAGCGTGATTACAACAACTTCTCTGACTGGGGCAGCCAGAACAGCACCATTGGCTCCATGCGGAGAGTTCGCTTCAACTGAACACCAACTCTGAGCTATTGACATTGCGCCCATGAAATTTGTCAGCTTTATATACAAACATTTACATATTTTTAGTAATAAATTGTTAAAAGGCAAATGTTTTTGGTATTTATTCTTCATCATTTATTACTTTTAATAAAAGACATATGGGTTTTCGAAATGTAAAGAATTTGTAACCGATGGTTGTGCCCTAATACCAGAGACATAATAAGTCAGCAACATGACACTCAATTGAAATCTATAGAATTCCATAACATAAAAGATGGTGGTAGAAGTATAACATCTGTGATCAAAAAACTTCTCTAAGCTTAAATGTTTGAAAAAGCAACCCTAATTATTATGATATGTATTGATGTTTTGCAGACACACAGAGGATAACCATATCATATTAACTTGTTTGGCATTTTGGACATAGGACAGTCATAGTGTGAATGTAGGATCAAGCGAATAAGGTCCCAGTCACACTGGCCTAGAGACTGATGTGCAACTCAGCCACCAGTCATTAGGAAAAAGTGTTGCTTTGAGTGCTTGCAGGACGTTGACGGCACTTGCAGGAAAAATGGCGACTAAAGTCCCAGTAACACAGGTCTACAGACCAGTCAGTCATCACCCCCGGCAACCACTGTTTGGCAAAAACGTCCTTGTTATTTTTTGAGTGTCTAACACAGCATATTACTTTGGTCATAAACTGAATGGAAGACATGTGGATTCAGCTACTCTCTAAGCTGTAGCGAAACTGTGATTCAACACATGAATGGCCTGAGGATAAAAACACCTCTTGAGCCTCTCCGTTTTTGTTCGGATGGTGCGGAACCTTTCAGAAGCTGGAACAGTTCATTGCTGGGATGGGACGGGTCCTTCAAAATCTGAGTTCTTCTACTCCAGCATCTCCTGATTTAAATCTCCTGTAGGGCAGGGAGAGCAGTCCTGCAGCAGGGTTCTGCCATACGGATCACTCTCTGAAGAGCTTTTTATTTTCGAGACAGCTGTTTCCATACCAGGATGTGATGTTCTGTATGAGGATGCTCTCCACAGCGCCTGTATAGAAAGTCCTGAGGATCACTGGAGAGACCCTGAACTTCCTCAGTTGTCGGAGGTGGTACAGGCGCTCTTGAAGGACTGCTCCCTCTCCACTGGAGCTCCATTGATGATAATGGCGCTTGTGGCTCAAGAGTTGGGAGTTCGCCTTGTAATCGGAAGGTTGCCGGTTCGAGCCCCGGCTTGGACAGTCTCAGTCGTTGTGTCCTTGGGCAAGACACTTCACCCGTTGCCTACTGGTGGTGGTCAGAGGGCCCGGT